ACCGCCCCGGGACCCCGCGGGACCGCCCCGGGACCCCGCGGGACCGCCCCGGGACCCCGCGGGACCGCCCCGGGACCCCGCGGGACCGCCCCGGGCCGCCCCCAGCCCGGCCGTGCCGGGTCACGGCATCGGATTTCTCCTGCGGAAAATCCCCAAACCGGCACCGACAGCTGCGGGGAGGAGCCCCAACGCCGCGGGATGTCCCCTCGGAGCGTCCCCAAGGCTCTCGGCTCCTCCCGCTGCTCCGGGGGACGGCGAAGCGCAGCAGGAGCGGGGATCGGGAGCCGCAGCCGGTCTCCATGGAGACGGGGATGGATGGGGAGGGATGGGCACGGTCCCGGTGGCGGCGGCACCGCGGGGACGCGGCCGCCGTCCCCGGGCCCGCCGTCCCCAGAGCGCCGCCCCGGGAGGGTGGGGACAGGGGGGCACCCCAAAAAATCCACCCGCAGCTGGCGGGGACGGAGGTCCCCGATGGCGTGGGGACCCCCCGTTTGTCGCTTCCCCTCGTGCCTCAGTGTCCCCTCGTGCCTCAGTGTCCCCTCGTGCCTCAGTGTCCCCTCCTCGGCCGGGGACGTCGCGGTGCCCCAGGGCTGGGAAGGGCTCGGGGTGGCGGAAACCGCGGGGGAAAACAGGAAATGCCAGAGCCGCTGATGCCAGGGAAGGCACCCCAAACCCTCGGCTGGGAACCCCCAAACTCCGCGCCCCGCTGGGCTCTGAAAGGCTGCGCTGGCCCCGAGCTGCGGGTGGCACTTGGGGACAGCGCCAGGCTGCCAGCCGCCCCGCGGTGTCCTGCCCTGGGGTGCGGGGGAAATGGGGTGCCAGGGTGAGGGGCAGTGGGGTGCCCGGCTACCAGGGACTTGGGGTTTAGGGGTGCCAGGGTATCGGGATGCCAGGGGTATCAAGGTATTGGGTGCCAGGGCGCCGAGGTGTTGGGGTGCAGGTATTTCAGGGTGCAGGTATTTCAGGGTGCAGGTATTTCAGGGTGCAGGTATTAGCATGCCAGTGTTTCAGGCTGCAGGTATTTCAGGGTGCCAGTCAGGGTGCAGGTATTTCAGGCTGCAGGCATTTCAGGGTGCCAGTGTTTCAGGGTGCCAATGTTTTAGGGTGCAGCTATTTTAGGGTGCCAGTGTTTTAGGCTGCAGGTATTTCAGGGTGCCAGTCAGGGTGGAGGTATTTCAGGGTGCCAGTGTTTCAGGGTGCCAATGTTTTATGGTGCAGCTATTTCAGGGTACCAGTGTTTCAGGGTGCAGGTATTTTAGGGTGCAGGTATTTCAGGGTGCCAGTGTTTCAGGGTGCCAGTGTTTCAGGGTGCCAGGCCATCGAGATATGACCCTGCGGGGCTACCAGCATGCCCGGCGGGCACAGGGCGCTGGTGGCAGTGGCACAGGGCGCTGGTGGCAGTGGCACAGGGTGCTGGTGGCAGTGGCACAGGGCGCTGGTGGCAGTGGCACAGGGCACTGGTGGCAGTGGCATAGGGTGCTGGTGGCGCTGGCACAGGGCGCTGGTGGCGCTGGCACAGGGCACTGGTGGCAGTGGCACAGGGCGCTGGAGGCAGTGGCACAGGGCGCTGGCACAGGGCGATGG